TGGAAGCTCATGATAGGAAGGTGAAAAAAGGATGAGACATTTATGTAGAAAAAGACAGGATAATCCTTTGAGTGGGATGTTGGATGAGGTGAGGTCATGAGATCTTTTTCAAAGCGTTCCTGTGATTCCATAACAATAACATAGTAGTGGGGGTAGGCAGAAACATATATACTGATGTCCAGTATCCAACATTTCTGGCTGCTGGGGCCAGGAGAGGAGAGCAGGCTGCAAAAAAGTAGTCAGGCTCCCCTGCTTCCCCCCTTCCCTCCCCCCAAAAAATAAATTCCTACTTTCCCTGTCAAAATTAGCTTCCTGTTGCAGATGGTCTAGTAGTCTTGTTGCCCATTTCTTATGTTTTTAACCACTGGGTGCTGCATCAAGGTCTTAGAGACCCTTAAGCATATTACTCTTCTGTGTCTCGTTTCAGGTCTCTCATTTTATTTACACTTGGTTGTCTGTCACTCTCCATGTCTCTATGTGCCTGCCCCTTGTTTGCAGATTCCCCTGCCCTAGCCACAGCTACATTTCCTTGCACTCTCACATGCACCTCTTGTCCTGGTGGCACTCAGCCCTGCTGCGGCATGTAAGCTGTGGTTCCAATTGCTCTGTGGTGCCTGTCTCTGAGGATGGACTTGTTAGGAAGCAGCTGGATACAACTGGCTGACCCCACAAGGCTACTGCATCATTTCCTAGAATGAAATGTCTTTGGCACTGGCTTCTTCAAATTTCTCACTCCATCTTACTCAAACTCCCCCACAGCCACACATACTTCCACTTACTCATGCTTCTATAGGTTAGCTTGCCAGGAAAACCATGCTTGAGAAAAGCATCTCTTGCACATGCCTGGTCTAGTTTGGGGTGACTCAAGTGTCCTTGCTTCCACTTCTCTACTTACTAAATGGGACAAGTATAGGACGAGTCCAAGCTACCCTGCTTTCAATGTTCTGCTCTCATTAGATCTAGAGCAGCTCTCCTGGTGCCATGAGTAACATTTCCTTGTTATTGCTATTCATAGTAGATAAAAAAAATCAAGGGCATTGGAGCCATTATGCAGGACATTACAGAAGTGTCACTGTTAGAATAGATCCTAGTTTTCAAATAATTAGTGTTTTTCTTTTTCTTCTTTTTTTTTTTTTCCTTCTTAAGTGATTCTAAGTATTCCCTTCTCCCCATATTTTTTCTTTCTGTCAGTAACCCAAGAAGAACGTGTGGGAAATCCAGGCAGCCTTTAAAAGCTTGAATCAGCAATACTACTTAACTGCAGACATTTTTTCCCCACACCTTGTTTCACAGTAAGCTGCAATAGCTTGACTTGAACTGTCTACTGGAATTGAAGCTCTCCTTGTTCTAAGTGCTGTATGTTACTATTTCTTTTTGTAGAGTGGGAATTGACATAAAATGATTTCCCAAAACAATTGTACATTGAAATCAAAATGGGATGAGGCATGGGAATCTCGAGACGAGCACCACAGTTTTCTTCACCATCCCTCTGGAAGAGGTCTCTCACCCTCCTCCATTTTGGGACCCCAGGCAGGCTGCTGCCCTCAGCAGATGCTTCTATTGAAGTATCCCTGCTGAATACTTACAGTCATTTCTGGAGGCAGCTGGCCTAGCAGAGAGCACAGAAGGAGGAGAATATTTCACCTCTGTATGCATTTATAAAATCTTTTTGCAGGTGACAGGATCAGAGCTTGCCGGCAGCAGGCAAGGGATACAAGTGTGTCAGCATCTTAAGGTGGAGCCCCAGGGAGCCCTCATGCTCCCTTGGGATAAAAAGTGGGGGAAAAAGATAAACATCTCCTTAGCTCCAGACTGTCTCTTGTCCTTCTTACCCCCCCACTGCAAGCACTTCTCTCTTAACAGGCTTTATTTATTTATCTATTTATTTAATGGGAAAATTATAATTTCAGGGAAATGCTGCCAATGTTCTGCATTATTTGTCATGGTAATAAATGTTTTCCATATTAAGGTTGAGTTGCCTCAGTGGGACACACCTGTGTCCCTTACTGGCTGTGATCTGTGCTAATTGAGTGAATGATGCGCCCAAGAAAAGACAATGGAGAAGAATGAAATGAAGATAGATGAATTCAAATGCACCTCTCTGGTGAAGTGAGATTAGTGTTGTTTCATGTTCTTTTGATTTCTGGAGATCTCAGATTCTGAGCTTTCCCATTTCATAAGAAAATTGCCAGTTTGTTCAGGCTTTTGTCTGTGTCCATTTCTACAAGGAAGATCAAAACCTTGCTTCTGGAGAAGAGGAAGTTAAAACGGTCAACAGTTTTATGAAGTGACACCACAGCTGCTTCTTAAATACCAATGGATCTTAATGAAAGGCAGCCTCATACAGCTGCTGCAGCAGCAAGCAGAGGTCCCAACTGATACTTTGTCCCCACTATGCCCAGCTCTTTGCGAACAGGTTATGAAGAAATAACTTCTCCGTGAGAAATTTAAAACCTCGTTAGATGAGACAGAAAGAGGAGAATGAAGACCCCCAGTGGGTAAAGGAAAAGGCCTTGGTCACACAGAGCACGTAGTATAGCCAGGAATAAGACGAGGACTATCTAGTAGCCCTGCAAGAGAAAGTCATTCGCATTAAGCAGCTCAGTTCCTATTGCTGGGTCAGTGTTTGAGACTTTCTGTTCAAACACGAACTCCATTCCTGCATGGGAACAAGCATGGATCTGACACAGCAGACACCATGCAGTATTGGATAGCAGACCCAGGCTGGGCAGGTCTGGACAGTGCATCCAGGTGAGGTCACTGCTCCTGAAAGCAGCTGTGCCGTCTTATTGGGCCATCACACTGCTCTCCTGAGCCTTGTCTTCTCCTAAGGTGGTGTCAAACCTACTTTGAACTTGAAGTTGGAAGGGGCTGAGCTCCCAAGATACTTATTTTCCTGGAGTCTGTCGGCAGCAGTGACAATCAGGCAACTGATGCATTAACATACCAGGGAGGCTCTAATGTTTATTCATGTGTCGCTCTCAAGGGTTTATTGAATTGATGCCTGGTAAAGCGACTAATGGGAGCCCTTGGCAGGGTACCTCAGATGAATTTCCTCATTATCTCTCTAGATTTTATACTCTCTAGCAAAATCAGTATTAAAGCTGGTGCACAGTGCAGTCTTTTTTAGCTTCAGGGTTTAAAGATTTATGGGGCATCAGGGAAAACCAGTGAAGGCAAAAGACAATGACATAAGAAGCAAAATTCAAGTCACGTGAATTGTTACTGAACTAGGGTGGGTGATTTTCTACCTTTGTTAGGGAATCTTTATTACTATTTTTTTTTAATCTCCCCCTTCCCTGTAACGTGCTTTGGTGAGGCAATATGTGGCCCTTGCATTCCAGAAACTGTTAACAGAGTGAAGGAGGCATTAAGCTCTTCATGGAATGAAAAGGATTTGAGATGACAGTTTCAGGATCTCAGCAATCTAGGGATGCTGAAAGAGGGCTGGAGAACTGGGAGAAGTAGCACCTCTGTAACACAGCAGTGTCCACCCCTATCCATCTTGCCATTTCCATAGCTTCCATGTTGAAGCCTGGACAACCGTGGAGCCTTAGCAGTTCCCTGAAACAGGGCCAAAGGTTCAGCCATTGCAGTTGTGAGTACCAGAACTGGGACGAAAGCAGTCTTTGGCTCAAATACTGCTACTACTGCAATTTCTCCAACTATTCTTTTTTTTATTATTATTTTTTAACCCAGAAGTCCTGCAGTGTCACAGGGTCAGTTTTCTTCAGATTTCAGATGCAAACTGCTCAGCACTGATGCTTTTCACAAGCAGCGTAGCCCCCACCAAGATAAAACCTGCTGCCTTGTAAGCCTGCAAGCTATGGTTCTCACTGGTGAGCACAATAGTGTTACTGAATCAGATATTTTAATATTTCATTAATTCTGTGGAATTATTTGTAAGATTCCCATCATATTTACTTAATGACTGCCCTAAGGGGAAAGAGGAGAATTTAAAAGGCTGGTAGCACTGTGAGTGTAAGGAAAAGCAGGCATGCATCTGGGTTGTTTTGCTCACCAGTGATACTCCAGACTTCCTGATCCCAAAATTATTGTGTTTTCTTCTTTCCCACATCTTCAACAGCAGCATTAAGAAATTCAATCCAGATGTCCCTGTAACATGCTCAAAGGGGTTTTGAAGTTATACTCTAAGATAAGTCGAAAGACTTTTCCCCTTTCCATTGCTTAGCATATTTTTTATTGCTGTGAGATTACAGCTTAACTATTAAAAACACATATGCTTAAAGATTTCTCTACCTTTAAATCCAAGCCTGACAAAGGAAATAATGTATTTATGGATGTCAAAGTGTTGCATTTGGGGGAACCCTATTCCCCCACAGCTTGCATGTTTTACAACTAAATTGAAATGAGGAACTGGACTGCACGTGCCAGTCATCTAGAAACTATTCAAACAGGAGAGTTCTGCTAACAGGAGTCACGTTCAGTCCTGATTGTGAACACAGATGGTGAATTTCACATGGCATCAGAGGACCTGTGATGAAGAATAGCTGCCACCTACCAATACCAGCACCTATTCACATAATGTGGTATGGATACCTTATGTCTATAAGATAGGCACGCAGTGGCTGTAGCATTACATCCATATACAGCTTTAACTTAGCATGCTGCCTCGAAACACACAAAAAAAGTCTTGCTTCATGGGAGGAATCAAAGCCCCAGTGCTGGTGAAGAAAGGAAACTTCTTTGCCCTTTCTTCCAGGAGCCCTTTGGCACAGGCATGATTGTGTATCCTTCTCTGTGCTCTTTACGTGCCCTCCTTTACAAACTGAAGTACAACGTCTACAAGTACAGTTCATAAGTGGAGATGAAGGTTATTTTGGTCCAATCTGGATAAATCCCAGCAGCTTCAAAGGAATTAGTGGCAAATCTTGCCATATAAACTCCTAAACATTTGATAGCATGGAAACGATGTACGAATCCCATGTGGGGTTTCAAGAAAGGGGCAGATTTCAACCAGTAAAATTCATGGCCCAGCAGGCTGTGGAGGATCTTGTTGGTTCATGTGTTATGAACTTCTCTCCCCCAATCATTTTATTACCTTGAACATCTGTGGAAACGTGGAGGTGCAGGAAGCCTCCAGGCTGCTCAGCATGTTTGACTCAATTTTCTCCTTGAACATGTGCAAATGCTCCTTCTATTTGCACCTTCGCAGAGCTGTGATTTGCAACACCAAAGCCTAAATGACACCTAAGATCCCTCCAGAGCATTAAATAAACAAGCCAGTAGGGCGTCTCACAGTCTGGGAAGCGCTAAACAGAAAGCAGGAGCACAAACTGCTTTGAAAATGAACTAGTTGGATTTCTTTTCTGTACTCCAAATCAGAGAGGTCTTTTTATTTTCTTTTTCCTTTTTTTTTTTTCTTTCTTTTTTTTTTCCTAAATGAATCCAGGCTTTGCTCACTCTCCAGAAAACTAAACTAGGATTCTGATTCAAGTTTTATAATGTAGTAAATCCTGTGTTTCTGGTCTCATATTATTTAATTAGATTTATGTGAAATAAATATGAAAATGAACAGGACAGTCAGTGTATGATCCACAGTAATGTTTTGACAGCATGAGTGTTTAAGGTCTTGTACACTGTACGTATGCTTCTGATTTGGTACTGAGAATAGATACAAAACTCATCAAATTAGTCAGAGGCAAATTAGACTTTAATAGGTAGTTAAAAGTAGAAAGGGGCTATGACTGTATGCAAGGCAGTTTGGACTTGGGGATTGGCATTGATTTTATTAATGTAATTGGCTGTAAGGAGACCTTCACAAGTTTCTTCTAAAAATAAGCTCTCTCTCCTTTGCAAAGAACTGCCCTACTCCAGATGATGGCCGAGGGGAATGTAGTAAGTTCTGCAATCACGGAATAGCACAACACACAGTGCCCCTCTTTGAGACATTCCATAAAGGTGCCTATGTTTCTGGCCAATCATCTCATTGCAAATGAAATTACTAGGATCAGAACTCTCGACAAAGCGATGTTTTGCTCATTTGTTTCTGAGATGCATCACGTATTGAAGGAGAAAGGCCGCAGTTACTAGAAACAAAATCCATCACTCTGTCATCCATCAGTCTTTCCCTTCTGCTGAATCGTTACCTAAAGGATTTTGGAAAGATTTCTTCAACTGGAGAAAAAAAAAAAAAAGAAAAAAGTGTTAAGTTGAGAAAATGACCAAGATCACTCTAAAAAGGAAATGGGTACAAAAGATGACAAAACATGATATGAGTTACTTCAGCTCCTTGCACCTTATTGCCTGTGGTTCCCATTCTTTGAATTTTTTCTGGAGGAATCTGATTCTGCTTGTTATTATCAATAGTAATACCAACATAAATCAGCAAAACAGTATAAGATTGTAATGCAAAGCTCTGATGGTGTTATGCAGAATTAGACCCTAAGTTTTCAGTTAAGAGAAAGATCAATCCTTTAAAAACTGCACCACATACTTAGTTGGAAGAGACTATTAAAGTATAGGGCAGCTAAGAGACTATCTAGAAATATTTTATACACAGAAAGGCAAGCAAACAACTTCTTGGATTGTAATCAGATCATTTAGAAATGCTGACTTGGAATTTCTCCGGAGAAACAACAAGCCTTCCATTTCACTGCCTTTACTGCCCTTGCAAAGCCAGGTAATCGGCTCTGCAAATTGAAGCCATAAATAACTAATTTCACATGGTGGGTGAGGGTTGAATATACTAATTAGTCAAACAGCTGCACTCAGAGTTCAAGCAAGCCAGGCACACTGCATGTACATATTTATATATTCTTCCCTCTGGAGCGTTTGCCACAGCTTAGAGAGAAATAACAAGGCAGGTATGGTCTCAGCCTGTGCAGGGTGGCAGTGCCCCAAAGCACAGAGTCCAGCCCTTGGGATGAACGCAGTGCTGAGCAGGAAAGGACCATGATCTAAGCTGTGGCAATGAAGCACCATGTAGGGAATCTGCATTGTGGCTCAGTGATCCCTTCCACTTACAACCTTGAGGGTAAGTCTAAAACAGCTCCTTACATTGTGTATAAAGGCCTTAAATTCGGTTTTTGCTTGAGGAGGTCCTTTCATTTCTTTTTTACTGATGGAGGGCTCCTGCAGATCCTGTGTGGATGAATTTGGCTCAGGCACTGTACTGGTAGGAAGCAGCATTAAGGGTGCCTCTGGCTTCAGGGCCGAGAGAAGGTCTGCTTCTGTGGTGTTTTTGCTAGCAGCTCTTTGGGGCACCCCTTCTGAGCACCCACTTCTAGCACCAGCAGCATCTGGAAGTGCTTGTTTATTCTGGGCATTTCTTTCTCCCTTCCAATCAGAAAGTCCGAGCTCAGAAAACAGATGGGATTGTTCTACCAGTAATTGGTCCAGCTGCTGCAGAGAAAATAGAAGGAAAAGCATATTGCAGTAATAAAAATATAATAAAAGGAATCAAGCAGGATACACAAGAGTATATGAAGCATGCCTGCTCTGATGCTTGATTCGAAGAAGACATGCAGTATTTGGCAAATGAGATACTGCCAGAAAAAGGAGGAGAAAGGCCTAGAGGGCATTTTGTTCCTACAGATAAACATACTATAAAATCTGCAAAAGGACCTCTGACAGTGGCTATTGTTTTCTGACCCTTTAACCCAGGCTTGTCAGGGAAGCTCCCCCACATGACCCAGAGCTTGTGCAGCATACCATCAGGATGCCCTCCCCGACTTGGTAAGCTCTATCACTCAGACAGAGTTCCAGCTCTGCCATCTCCTGACGAATGGCTTGATGTAGGCATTGCAGGTTTCTGCTTTCCTCCCTGTAGAGACAGCAATGAGAGCACGCTTTAGTGAGCGGTGCACACTTTCTTCCCTAGCTCCACCAGTACACCTATATCCTCCTTTGTTGCCATCTTGTTTCTACCCATGATCACAGAATAATTTGCAAAATAATATCAGCCCTCCATTCTTCAGTTAACCCACTTGCAAAGTTAAATGTGTTGCAGTCACAGAGCAGTTACAGAGCCTCAGTGTAGGCAATTTCATCTCTTAAGATTTATTACCAGCATAAAGACCTGCATAAGTGTTGTACTTTGAGGCAGCTCAAGACTGGAAGCCCCTACTAACTCTGAATACTTGAGCACTGGGATATTCTATGACTTCTCAATAATCACTTTGAATATGAGCTGAATTAAGTCAGTTCCTGCATTCCTATTGTTAAAATATATCCAGCCTAAATCTATGGAACAATCTTCTTCAAAATGCACTGCTTGAACAACGCAGAAAAAAAGTTAGACTTTCTTCTGAACAAAAAACACAGCAATTTTCTCTTCTACTTGCATGATGCCCACAGCTGCACCCCACTGATCAGCAAATCTACAGTAACACAAGTGCCCAGACACATCACACACACTGCTGCTGATGTTGGCTTTGGGTTTAAATGTGTGGGACTGCCTTTACCTTCCTTCTTCTGGCATACAATTGGAAAACAGTGCCTGCTGTTCGGTCAGGTGCCGTTCAATCTCATCCAGCTTCTCATGGAAGTGCTGGCAGGAGATCTTCATCAACTCTATTTCGTCAGTACACTGTGGAGAAAAGCAAGAAGACACTTTACTTGACTTTTCTATGACTTTTCTTTGAGTGCCTCTGTGTTGAGTGTGTTTGAAGCTGACAGCCCACAGGGCACGTGTCCTCTTCATACCTGCACAACAAGGACTACGAGCAGCTGCTGCAAAAGCCCAGACTTTGCTCTGGGCGCACCATCTGCATCCTGGTTACTACTTCTTTCCTAAATCCTGTAGGATGAAGTCTTGGTACTACTCAAGTCAGTGGGAATTTCATTTTTGCCACTGAAGGGGAAATGGACTTTGATCGAAATCTGACACAGATTTATTCACAATAATTGCTCACCAGTTTCCTCTTAGAACGCTAGAACTGGGTTTATCTAACCGAGAGCAGACATTTACTGCAACACGTGTACATCCAAATAAGGTAACAGAGTAATTGTTCTGATTCAAAAACAAACATCCATGATAAGTTAGAGAATCAGTGCCATATATGTGACCATTTCTCTTGACTGAGAGAAGGAATTTATTATGGCTAATCATCTCTGATGTAAACACTAGGAATGTCTCAAAGCGGGTGAGAACAATGAACAACAATAGTAAAAAAAAATTCTACTGAAAGACTTTCTCATTACTACCTTGGAGCACAGAAGTAATGTAGGGACAACCCACTAGTAATATCAAAAGAAATCCTATTACCAGTATCCACTGATCTAGATTTCTAGCCCCATTAAAGACCTTTACTTGGCTTTTTATTCCTTGTTCGAAAAAGCAAAGCAGACAGCAGCATCCAAGTTATTTTGGAGACAGTACCATCTGCCTTCTAAAGATGTGCTCCCCTATTACTCTGAAGCTGGTCAGAGTGCAAGCAGAAGTGAGATGTTCCCATTTTAGCAGATTTTAGTCTCTTGTAATCCATAGGAAGACGGTGTGGGAACCTGCTCTCCAGTGTTGACCACTGTAACTGATAGAGAACAAGAGGCACGTTTGCAAAGTTTGGCAATGCGTGATCTCTTGAGATCCATGCAATCACCTTTTGATGATCTTTTTACGTTTGTTAGATTGAATGTATGTCCCAGTCCCCAAAAGGCCTGAATTATGAGGAAGCTATCCCTGCTGGGGTCCAGCTTCAGTTAGAGGTCAAAAGATGCTCTCCGAGCATTTGAGAAAACTCAAATGCAGCTCCTGTGGCAGGCAGGCTCTTGATGTGCGTGACTCAGGCATAAAACCTCCCACAGTAGTAAATGAAATATCTCGCCTTAAAAGCTATGGGATAGCACTGGAAAGAGCTGATCAGAGACTGACAATGGTTTGACAGGACTGGCCCTATGGCTGCAGCAAAGATGAGCTCTGCTATGTATCTGCTCCACGTGGACTGCAGCTGGTTCTCTTACTGCTACAGGTTTGGGCAACAGTCTCAAGCTCCATTGAGGCAGTCACTGTGTCACGAAGACCTTCAAGTTCAGCATTGGATGACTGTTCATCTTATCCTCAAGACCCCTCCATAATCTTTAATTTTAACCTCAGAAAGCCTGGCTCTTTCTAGATAGGAGTGTGTGGGGTGCGAGTAAGCAGTGCCCACGTGGTAACCAAAAATTCCTCTTCAAGTCTGAGCAGAGTAAAGACTTTTGTCCACCAGAAAAGTGTACACTAATGAGCTGGAAGACCTTCAGTCCTGCACTTCTCTAAGCAGAAGTCAGTGAGCTACAGATAAATTTCTGGATGGTTCCTTGAGGCTAACAGAAATCTAGAAATTACCATGCAAAAGATCCAAGAAGTACATGAGGGTACGTTTGGTAAAATGTTATGGATGAGGTATGGACAGCCTTCCAGGACCTGACCCTGGAAGTACATTGCAGAGCACATGGCTCACACAGATTTATTCACAGCTCAGGCTCAGCAAGGATACAGCAGCGACTACTTTTTCCTGGACCTGGACCCTAGTTAGGGTAAATTGTGTTTAAATAGTGTGAACTTGCTATCTAACAGTTGCTCCGTGTTGACTGCATGGTAAATGGGACATAACCTGAGAGCTTGTTCCTGTAAAAGACCTTAAATGCAAAGCACAAAGCGTGCACAAGTGCGATCTCTATTGTGGCTAATATTCAGTAAATTCACTCGCTTATTGCATGGTGACTGGGATGTGGAACCATATCCCTAAGAATGGATCATGGGCAAGTTTATTCTTTCCACATTCCCTAAAATACATAGACAACGTAAGAAAAAACACCACTAGCCCCCATTAGGAGAGTGACAGAACAGTAGTCAGTGAGAGGTCTTCCCCGTCCACCATAAGGTACTGACTCACTGCCATCGTGTGGCAACAGCAAGGCAGCTAACAAAATGCATGCTTTTCCCTATACTGTTCAAAGACAGGACACTGCAGATGTATATATTCAGTGATATTGCAGGAAAAAAAAATTTTTTTCACTTTTTCAGACTTTTATGTATTTTCTTCCTCAATTTGTACAACAGTTTAAGTCTCATAACCTTATGACGTGTAAAAAAAAAGAGTGAAAATAGAAACTCCTGCAAATTAGCAGGGATGTACGCTGCTCCTTTCCACATTTTTCTCAGGCCTTTCCCAGTTCCCTTCTTCCTCAGTACACCCTGAGCCTTTCACAGTTTTTGGGAACTCACAGGAATTCAGACCAAAGAAATAAAAATCTGCATTTTTTATTGCAGAAGGTTGTCCTAACACAATTCTAGATTTCATGGGAGCTTCCTACTTTCCCATGATGAAATGCCTTGAAGCCCTGAGTAGTTGCCATTCACTTTGATTTAAAACAGTCTGGCTGATGGATGTACCTGGGTATGCACGGTTTGTATTTAGCAAACACTATGCAATAGAACTTAAGGTAGCTCCCAGTAAAAGGGGATTTCACTTTGTATTTTCTGCAGTCCAGAAAGCTACTCAGCTACTGTAACTCAGCTGATTCACTGGAAATCATTCAAACTCACTGAGCCCCATGCTGTAAACCAGATCTTATCTCAGCTCTTCATTTAAACTGTAAATTTTATCATTCAGTTTACAGCAGCCATTTTGAGACTGAACTGAACATTTTTGTAATAAGCAGTCTTTTTTTGTAATAAGCAGTCCCACAAAACTGAAGGTGTTTGCCACTTTTGTTTGGAAAGAAATGCTTCCTTCCTTGACTTAGGTTATATTCCCAGTATTTGTCTCACTAAAAAAACAAGCATGAGAGGTGGGGAAAGGGAAAGGCAGCTTGTGCACGTGGCACATGAGCATGTCAGCTGTCGTTGTGCACAATTATTTGAAGAAATCTACTCACCAGAGGAAGATTTTGCATTGCATTTTCCTGCAGAAACGTCAGTGTCCTCAGGAGCTTCAGCTTGTTGGCAGCCTGGTTTGAGCAGCAACCCATGGGGCTATGGAGAGAAACTGCCACAGGACACGTCCGTAAGCAGCAGCAGCAACAGCAACCATGGCAGCAGCAGTAGTGGCAGCAGGGACTGCTGCAGGTTTCACTGCAGTGGTGTGGCCTGTATTTGTATTTTCCAGAGAGCATGGTGTCAAGGGAGGCTGATTTTGTCAGGTGGCGATGGGGTGGGCAAAGCACAGGCAGCTGCCTGGTCTTCCTGTTTTCTCCAGTTTGGCTGGGGGTGTCAGTGGTCTGCTTCACAGCGTCCTCTGAAGCCCCTGGGTCTGACCATATGGGACTAGCACCCTCAGAGCAGTGTGCTGACACCTTAGACGAGTCCACACGGTCATCCCTAGCAAGGCTTTCAGTGCAAGGAACATTTTGCCTAGTGCACTTCACCCTTGAAGTAAGTTCCAGGCCTGAAGGCATCTGAACAGTAACAGATGTCAGAGGAGTACGAGTCATTTCACAGTTTTGGACAGAGTCCCCTAGTTCTGGTTTGTTAGTGCCTAACATTTCCCTTGTGCCCCCTATCTCTTGCTCATTGGGTGCACTTAACCCTGGCCCTCCTGCTCGGCACAGAGGAGGCCTGTGAGACACTTGTGAAGAGCAGCTTGAAGCGGCACAGCCCTTACACAGAGTTTCTGGGACCCCCCTTCTAGAGAAGCATCTTATTTTTTTCACATCAGCACCCATTTTACAAAACCTCTGCCTGTTTGTAACCTCATTTGCTGCAAGCATGGCACCATTTCTGATGAACTCTTCCACACCCCACCACAGTTCTTCACCACATTCTGTACAGTCTGTGTGGGCATTTCTGTGACATGTGGCTTCACTGCCTTTTTCCATCAGGCCTCTCTCACTTTCATCATCACCTCCGAGCTTGCTCTCAGGGTTTGTATCACTCAGTTCAGTGAGGCCTGCATTCATATTTTTATGTCCTGTACTGAAATTAAGCTGACAATGAAATTTTGATGAGACCAGATCTCCTTCATCTTGAGTATCACCCTCGAAAGGAGTGTTCTCTTCTGTGCACTCCTCTTTTTCAAGATGCTGTCTTTCAGTTTTATACTCTTCCACGCCACATACTCTGTCTTGGACAGAACTCTGCAGCTCAGCATTACAGGACTGATGCTTGCCATTTTCCACAGTCAGCAGAAGGGAAATCTCTTCTCCCTGGTCTCGGCATGCTTTTGTTGGTCTAGATACTGTCTCGATGCTTTCACAAGCTCTGATGAAGACTTCACCAACACGATCATCTTGATTTTGATGGAAATCTTGATTTAACAGAGGAAACTCTGTCGTATGGGACAGAGCTGTTCGTTGGTTATAGAGATCAGAAAAAATATTCCTCGTTCCTGACAAAGGTACATTCTGAAGGGGAAAAAAAGAAAAAAAAGGAAAATAAAGAAAAACAGAAAGCAGAAAAATATACAGAAGAAAAAAATATATAAAAGAGGAATTAAAATATTGGAATTTTGCTATCACAAGCATTTGCCCATCATCATTTTGTCCTGGACATCTCTGCACATAAAGCCTCTTTCAGTACATCTTTAAATACCATCAAACCACATAATCAAAAGCTATTGTCTCATTTCTTATCTAACCATGCATTAGTGTGGTAGAAGAGTTGAATAAAACTCTGAGAATACTTCTTGCCTTCTGAGGTTCTCTAGGAGGATGAATTTGTGTTCATGAAGCTTTCATGACTCCATGATTTTTATTTTTAATTATTTGTTATTTGTGCTAAGGTTACAGAGTTTTCATAGACCCACTGACTAATATTGTTGATTTCTTACTTGCAGTACTAAAGATTCTGGCAGCTCCTCCATGAACCCACTGCTGTCTGACTGGCAGCTGCTTGTTCTTGTCACCATCATCTCTGCTGGGGAAAACAAAAGATGAGAAAAATTACAAAGAAAGCAAATAGCAGCAGTTGGCCAAAATAAACACAGAGCTAACCAGGGGCACTTCAAGTGTATTTTCCACTTCTAGAAACATTCTTGACCCTGGTGCTGTTCCCCAGAAAGCTGTAATATCACTGTGGCCAGAACAAATAACAACATGTGCTCAGGATAGCTGCAGCTGATGATGCTCACTTATCCTCCAGTTTAATCATCAGCTGCAGATTTCATTTTTGATATATTTGCACAACATATGCAATGTAAGTAATCTATAAATAATCCAGCCATTTGTTTTCCTTCACTAAGCATGTTGTCTTTTGACAGTTGGTTGCTAGAACTGCCTCCTGCCAAGTTTCATGCAGCCCTGTGTAATTTGAGTGGCTTCAACCAGGTGAATTCTGCAGGAAGAGGGTGCTGCCCTTGAGTCTCACCAGATCAGTTTATCCTTACTTTGAGGAATCGTGGTTGATTTTGGTTGGAATTCAGCAAGTAGAATAGTAACAAGTAGAAATGATGTATGATTGCATGGTAAGACATAAAAGCGGAAGGAAGATATTCTAGATCTGCTCCAGAGAAGATCTGTAATCTAGCACCAATGTCATCTGGCTAAATTAGTTTTCACTTCAACATTTGCAACTAGATTATACACTGTTAGCTATCCAGTATCATCAGTATGAGCCAATCGTCTTCAAAAGTACAAATGCTAGAGAGTAAGCCCAAAGTTATCCAGTACATCCTGATTAACTCCCAGCCTTGGGATAATGCACATTTTCAAATAACCTTTATGCTCATAGTGCCTTCACATTCTCAGATACCTGGCACAAAAAGAGAACCAGAGTATGGGAAGCAAGCTAAGGGATTGTGCTAGGAAAAGAGTGGGATGGAGGCAGACACTCTGTATACATGTCCTCTCTTCTTCCATGCATACATAACTGGTGCTGGAACAGCTGCCCAGAGAGGTTGTGGAAGCCCCGTCCCTGGAGGTGTTCAAGGCCAGGTTGGATGGGACTCTGGGCAGCCTGGTCTGTATTAAATGTGCAGGTTGGTGGCCCTGCATCTGGCAGGGGGCTTGGAGATTCATGATCCTTGAGGTCCCTTCCAACCCTGGCCATTCTGTGATTCTGTGATAACTGCTACAGAGTCTTGACACATTCTGTTTTCTGGTCTTATCCATGAAAATGTGACAATTCACCAAGCAGTTCTGAGCCATGAGTTATTAATTCTTCTCTGTGTGAATTGGAAAAACCCAAAAACGTCTATAAATAATGTTTTCACACATTAAGAAACGATGGACTTAAGTAGATATACCTTGGGCATAAATTGATGAAAATCATGCAATCTATTTGTAGACAGCAACTGCAAAACCAAAACCCCATATTACCTTTTTTAAAAAGAATTAGTTGCATTGTCATTTGGCATCATCACCCACATGTCAGTCACTTTTCCTGTTTCAGATGAGAAATACATGGTTCCTTTCTCACGCATTACAAAATTTGCAATGAAGCTGCTGAAAAATGCCTGTTCTGTGGGCGGTCTCAAAACTCATCCTTGCAGTTTCCCACGAGCAGTATCATGGTTCAGCTTATTCTCCAGGGAGAATGCTCTACGTATTCTCTAAACTTTTTAAAAAGCTGTTTCAATTACCCTTTGCATCTTTGCCAGCTGTTGCTTCCAGTGTGTCAGTCTGGCCTGTTGTTTTCCATACATAAAGATGAAGAAATAAAGGCTTAGTAGAATTTTGAAAGTACAAATGCTTTTGCTGCTATAGTTTCAACCACTGCGAGGCTCAAAATGTCTCATGAGAGAAAGACCCTCCATGAGGGGATACGTGTGACCTTCAGGCTTTAAATCTGCAAACTCAGAAGACCATGCTGTCTGCTTATTTAGTGTTTAACGGTACCTGTTTTAATCCCAAGACACACAGGTTATGAAGGTAACTGGAATGCTCCTTGTAGGAAAAAAAGCAACAACTTCAAATGGAAGAGTAGTGCTTTTAGAATTCACCATCTGACCTGGTCAAAATCAGGTGGCTCCTGCCAGGTTTGGCCCACTCATTACAATAACTACAAAGCATCTGCTTCAGCAGGACAGTCAGTTGTGTTCATATACTGCAAACAACATACACTCAATATCATACATCTACGTTTATAGTTTCCTGCACTAGCTAGAGAACTAACCAAAGTACGTGATTTTGGGGCTGATTTTTCATGGAAAACAAAAATAAGGCTGGAAGAAATGTCTGCAGATCAAGTTTGCAGCACTACAGCTAGACTAGGAACATCTCCATGTGTCTCTTTCGACTTCCTCTGGAAGTAGGTATCGTGTGTGTTTGGCTGTTTCGGTTCTCATTGAATAAACATCAAGGTTCATACTACTCTGAAAGTCTGTATGTGTATTTAAAAGTGGTTATATTATAGGATCTTATGACCCTTCTGAGCGTTAATCCAGTTTCTACAGTTCTTGTGTAAGCAAAATAGAAAGTAATTTACAGTAGACGGAGAACCATTTTAAGAACAGTTCACTCACATCAATGAAGGTGATTTCATATTCATCTGAGTTAGGCACCTGATTTGCACCTACCTACATGATAGATGTGTAATAAACGAATACTCCCAGAGTAAAGGCTTAAATTCTCCATTTTTTTCCATCTGAAGTGAGGTCTCTGAGGGTCTGTGCTGCGGATCTATTCCAAGTACATTCAGATGCCTAATTTAATCATTGCATCCCACACTGACTTGTGAGAGCCTACCCAATGTGCTAGGCTATATCAAAGCTACTCAGATTAACATAAGGAGTTTTTAACAGTTGAGACGGAACACTTTATTGATAGCCAGACAAAATTTCTGTGATTTCCATGGAAGTCTGAATTAAAACCAAGACTTAGTAAGAAAAAATATGGCCCTCCAATGTAAGGTGAGGTGAAAAGCTTTGAAGAAATCGTCAAAGTGCTCCCATGAGGACTTCAAGCTGAACACTCCTAGGAGAAATGCAGAGCAGTACTGTGGGCTGGGTCAGAATTAGATCAAACTCAAAGTCCTTTACAAATTGAGGCAGCTCAGTTACAATCTGTTTAAACACAGCTTGGTTTAATGCCTGTATACCAGGTTCAAGTAATGTTTATATAATGGAAGACAGCACTTGTATACTGGGGAAACTTTGGGTGAAGGCTTGGCCAATCTCTCACGTCATTTCCACCCAGTGTCCCAAACAGGGAGTGAGACAGTGAGACTGAAATTCAGAGCGTGCCTAATGCCATCCTGTGGAGGAATGGAGTTTTCCTCTTTATGAATGCTTCTAGTTTGCCAATGGTAACAGTACAGTTTTCTTGGCAGGCTGTAGTGCGTGGTGAGGATAGCCACAGCTTGAACTTCTGCTAGGTCTAGATCTCCCAGGACCAGTTCTTCTCACTACCAGTTCTTCTGAACACGTCCAGATTGTATGTTGTTGCTAGTATCTAAAGCACTGTCAGCACCATTTCACAGCAGCAATTCTTTATTTTTAAATGAACTTCCAGCAATTGGAAGAGCATCTTTTAGGAAGGATACAAGTTGGCCAAAAAGAAAGAGGGAAGGGTCAGCAAAATTTACATAAACGTTGCTTTCACATTCAAATGTGGTTTTTTGTTTTGTTTTTCTGAAACAAATCCATCATTTTTTAACTGATGGGAGAAGAAAAAAAATGGGTTAAATTACCTGAACGTTAAGCAAAACATGTTTTCATTTCCAGTCTACCCAAATCACATTTCTCCCCAATCATTTGGCTCATCCACTGAACCAAAATATTCATTATTCATGGAGCTCCACGCAGTTCTCCTAGCGTGTGGAGACACCCAAATCTGCAGAGATTCTGCAAATACATGCAGCGAATCACACAAAGGAAAGATAAAGTATGTTTGGAGAAGGAGTAGAGACGCAGACCAGTATTCAACTATGAGCTAAAAATTACAACTCTGGGCCTTGTGCGGAGAATACATCTGGCTATGCTGGAAAGCGGAAACCTGAGAATTGCCCCTAAAGACCTTGGTGAGGAAAACCTTGGCTCCTCGCCTTTTTGTGCTAATTGAACTGGGATAGTTCAGCTCCTGCATCCCATTTCTATTCTGCCTGAATTTTAAATAAAAATAGGTTGGAGGAATTTACTAATCAGGTCTCTGCTTCATTTTGTATCGCATAAGAAAGTATATACCCTTCCAGATCCCAAAGGTCCCACAGCTTTCCAGCCCTTTACTTGATCAACCCAAATTCATTAAGAGACTCTCTCTCTCTCCTTATTTGCATGCGGATACAGTGGCTTCCATTTTCAGCAGCTTTCAGTACAGGAACTTTCTGAAGCTCCTGGGCTCCTAGGTTTACCACTAATGAAAGAATATTCCCTAATTAGTAAAAAATAAGTGCTGGAGTGCAGTTCTGGGTTCCTCTGAATACTCTGCAGCTGGTTTTCTGTGGACTTGGCTACAAACAACACAACCTCTTTTTAGCTTCCATCCAGGAGAATACTCACAATGTGAAAAGATGCCATGAGAACTTCTGCATTGACTGTAAATAATCCATATGTTTTGCATGTCTACTGAATCAAATTGATGTTGGTCGGCGCCCTCCTGTATTTGTCTTCTACCTCATTTGATTGCTTAGGGAATTGCAGGCACAATAACTTTGAATGAAAGAGCATTTGCACTAATTTGAATTTTAAATTCACATATTAAAATTTGGGCTTCTCCTATCATAGGAAAAAGCAGGATGACCAACTGCAGCCTAGCCATGCTGTTCAAGTTCCTGTAGTCATTTAAATATTGCTGGACCTTGATGTGTTTAAGCATATCTAGAGCTATTTGTACGTGTAACTAAAGAACACAGAAGAGCTACAGGGTAGTCAGGTATTTTGTGAAGGAAAAAGAAGTCTGAAGGGCTTAGTCAGCCTTTTTCACTATAAGCAAATGCACTTTGAAATCTCACGCAGAACTCTCAAGGCACTGGCATCATTA